CCAAACGCCACCACCCTCAGACACCCTAAACCTGGCGCAGTCAGTCTGGCCTTCGAGAGCTCGGCGTTCGCAGACAAGCCGAGGCCTGACTTTCGGTGAGGGGGGGGGGGGGGGGGGGGGGGGGGGGTTAGGGTTTAGGGTTTAGGGTTTAGGGTTTAGGGTTTAGGGTTTAGGGTTTAGGGTTTAGGGTTTAGGGTTTAGGGTTTAGGGTTTAGGGTTTAGGGTTTAGGGTTTAGGGTTTAGGGTTTAGGGTTTAAGGTTTAGGGTTTAGGGTTTATATAGGGTCTAGGGTTTAGGGTTTCTGAACCAATTATAACTGCACTTATGACCCACTTCTTAGCCCCTTTAAGTGCCCCAATATGGTCATAAGTACAGATATAAGTACAGGTATGATTGGTTAATAAGTACCATGAACCTCCAAGGGGGGGGGCTTTGTGGAAATTAGGGTTTCAGGGTTTAGGGCTTTCGGGTGTCAAGGTTGTAGGGTTTAGGGTTTCAGGGTTTAGGGCTTGAAGGGGGTTTTGGGGTTTATACATGGCTTTGGCAATTTGGAGCACTAGGGGTGTTAGAGTTTGGGGTTTAGGGTTGAAGGGTTTTCGGGGTTTAGGGCTGCAGTTGTTCGGGGCTTTGGGGCTTAGAAGCCCAGTAGCCTATTAGCAAGGGTACCCCAAACCCTAAACCCTTTTTGTCGAACCCAAAAGAGGATGGAAAGAAAAAGGGGGTAGCACAGGCCCTCCATAGTTTCGGGAATCGCTCGAGAGAGATCGAAAACTTGAAGAAAAGGCTTGTGAGTTGAGGCTTAAGGGGGGTGTAGGGTTTAGGGTGTGGGGTTTAGGCCGCTGGACATTTTCGAGCTTCAAACCAAGATAGACACACCTCCCTAAACCCTAAACCCTAAACCCTAAACCCTAAACCCTAAACCCTAAACCCTAAACCCTAAACCCTAAACCCTAAACCCTAAACCTCCACCCATGGCTGCCCTTGCCACTGAGGTCCGCACAGGATGCAACAGCTGGGAAGGCGCCCTGCAGCTTGGGGGCAGCTTCCGCGAGCACTTGGGTTTGGGGTTTGGGGCTTGGGGTTTGGGGTTTGGGGTTTGGGGTTTAGGGTTTAGGGTTTAGGGTTTAGGGTTTAGGGTTTAGGGTTTAGGGTTTCGGGTCTTGACGAACCTAGCCCGAAACGCCTCCCAGACCTAGGAACACAAAAAGCCCGCGACTTTAAGTCTTAGGATGGAAGTCCAGAAAACCAAATCCCTAAATCCTAAACCCTAAATCCTAAACCCTAAATCCTAAACCCTAAATCCTAAACCCTAAACCCTAAATCCTAAACCCTAAATCCTAAACCCTAAGTCCTAAGCCCTAAATCCTAAACCCTACATCCTAAACCCATAGCCCTGAACAATAAACCCTAAGTCCTCATCCAAAACGTTGGCGGCACCCTGTAGGCTTGGTGTTGAAAACTCTGGGCTTAGGGCTTGGGACCTTCCGGAAAATGTCAAGAAACCCTAAACCCTAAACCCTAAACCCTACACCCTAAACCCTAAACCCTAAACCCTAAATCCTAAACCCTAAATCCTAAACCCTAAACCCTAAATCCTACAAGTAACTAGGAGGCCGAATGATCCGCGAAGGGTCGACAGCATGTCTGCACAGCAATAAGGGTACCCTTGTTGGGGTCGGATACTTTCGAAGGGAACCTTGACCCACAAAATGGTGCCACTGGGCTAGCAAGGAAAACCACCCTAAACCCTAAACCCTAACCCTAAACCCTAACCTAAGCCCTAAGTCCTAAGTCCTAAGTCCTAAACCCTAAACCCTAAACCCTAAACCCTAAACCCTAAACCCTAAACCCTAAACCCTAAACCCTAAACAAAAAAGGCCACCCAACCCTTCACATTCAGCCAGGGTACCCAAACCCCTGGACCCTAAACCCTAAACCCCTAAACCCGGCAGCCCTAAATCCTCAACCTTCCCGCCCCCAGCTTTCGATTCTGGTCTAGAAAGAGTCGGGCCTCACGCACTATGAAGAGTGGATAGTATGAGGACATGCTGCATGTCCTCTCCTCAAGGACCAGCCCAAGAGCAGCTATGGAGGAGAGCTTCTCCTGACCACTGTGTCGAGCGTCGTCCCCGTGCAGGAACAGGGGTACCAATCGCTGTGCTTGCGCATATGCCACCTTTAGGGTTTAGGCTTTAGGCTTTAGGGTTTAGGGTTTAGGGTTTAGGGTTTAGGGTTTAGGGTTTAGGGTTTAGGGTTTAGGGTTTAGGGTTTAGGGTTTAGGGTTTTTCGGTCTCAGATCAGGTAAGAGATCATACCGAAGGAGGTGCTGGAAAAGCTTGTGTGGTAGAACGACTGGAAGCCGCCTCGAGTCGAAACTCATCCGGTTGTTGTATGTTATATTGCATTTACAATGCAAGCAGCGTCATTTCAAGAATGCAGCAGGCCCAAGCCCTAAACCCTAGATGCTAAACCCCTTAACCCTTAACCCTAAGCCCTAAGCCCTAAGCCCTAAACCCTAAACCCCCAAACCCTAAAACCCCAACCTTAAACCCTAAGCCCTAAACACTCCTTTACCGGCCTCTTGGGCTTCTATCCTGGCGCATCTGTCGCGGAGTGTCCTCCACGAGCAGTCTACACTTCAACAAGGTCTTTGCTGGGGCTTCGGCGGGCTTACAGGTCTTAGGGGGCTTGAGGGGTTTAGGGTTTAGGGTTTAGGGTTCAGGGTTTAGGGTTTAGGGTTTAGGGTTTAGGGTTTAGGGCTTAGGGCTTAGGGTTTAGGGTTTAGGGTTTAGGGTTTAGGGTTTAGGGTTTAAGGTTTAGGGTTTGGTTTAGGGTTTAGGGTTTAGGGTTTAGGGTTTAGGGTTTAGGGTTTAGGGTTTAGGGTTTAGGGTAGGGTTTAGGGTTTAGGGTTTAGGGTTTAGGGTTTAGGGCTTAGGGCTTAGGGTTTAGGGTTTAGGGTTTAGGGTTTAGTGCTGTTGCCTGGAATTTTGTTGGTCTCGATAAGGTAAAACAGAAAACTCCCTGCCCAATCTGACGATGTGCCGAGGTCTGCGATGTGAAGCCAGTCCAGCTTAATCGTGCTTGTGAGCGCCCCTGGAATGCTGAAGAAATTGCTGATCATCCGGCCTTCCCATCGCTGCCTGAGCAAGAAGTCCATGTGCCCCAATCGCTCCTGCCGTAATGGGCCCATGGCCCTTCCCGGGGCCCAACCCGGAGATAGTAGGCCGGGCATAGTGTCTGGAGGCATCCTGTCTTCCATGGCCCCACACTCCCGGCACAACCGGAGGTCCAAATCGCCTTTAGGGTTTAGGGTTTAGGGTTTAGGGTTTAGGGTTTAGGGTTTAGGGTTTAGGGCTTAGAGTTTAGAATTTAGGGTTTCGGGCCTGTTTAGGATTTGGGGGCTTCGAAAGCATGTGGCGGAGGTCTGGGCTTCTTCAGCTCAAGTCTGAGGTCTTTGGGATCTAGAGTTGCGCTGTGGTTGGAATTCCACCCTAAACCCTAAACCCCAAAATCCTAAACCCAAACCTAAGCCCTAAACCCTAAACCTAAACCCTAAGCCCTAAACCCTTAACATCGAGGTTGTGAGCCCCACTTTTCGGGGTTCAAGCACACGCTGGATGCTTGGTAGGCTCCCCATATTTGCTTGGCCTCGAAGGCGTGCCCAAGGAGAGAGGAACGACAAGCTCAAAAGACTAGAAAGTGCTGACGACATGAACTCCGAACAAGAGCCTAAGCTCTCGGCACTTTGCCCGAACTCGAAATTGCTCTTCCTGTGTTTTGGAGGAAGGATTCCCTAAACCCTAAACCCTAAACCCTAAACCCTAAGCCCTAAGCCCTAAGCCCTAAAACCTAAACCCTAAACCCTAAACCCTAAACCCTAAACCCTAAACCTACCTAACTTCCTTATTGTATTGTACTACTGTAGCAAAGAGGCCCCAGCCAGATCACCCCGAAGCCCCGACACATCAACCCCAAGCCTGAAACCATGCTTTAGGGTTTAGGGTTTAGGGCTTAGGGTTTAGGGCTTAGGGTTTAGGGTTTAGGGTTTAGGGTTTAGGGTTTAGGGTTTAGGGTTTAGGGTTTAGGGTTTAGGGTTCCCGAACCCCATCACCCTAGACCCTAAACCCTTGGCCTCAGCCCTGTAACTACAAGCCCTTAAGCCTGTAACCCGATAACCCTGAACCCTAAACCCTACACCCTGTAACCTGTAACCCTAAACCCTAAACCCTAAACCCTAAACTTTTCAAAACCCCAGGCCTCAGCGCAAGCTGCACAACCCGTGCGGCCTCCCACAGGAAGGCTGAGTTCAGCCGTGCCGAACTTACAAGGTTTAGAGCTCAGGGTTTAGGGTTTAGGATTTAGGGTTTTGGGTTTGGGTTTAGGGTTCTCGGTTCTTACTGGAGACTCGGGAGTTCGGGTTCCGGGTTCAGAGTTCAGGGTTTCGAGTTTCGCAAGGATCCCGACGCAACTCTTTAGGGCTCATGGTGGTGGGCTACCTGATTTCCCTCATTTTCCGTAGTGAGATCTAGCACGCAAAGCTCCAGTAGAGACTCTGACGTTTGGACAAAACCCTAAACCTAAACCCTAAGCCCTCAACCCTAAACCGGATTTACGTGCCGGGGCTTTCGGGTTTGTAGGCTCCAGGGTACCCTAAACCCTAAACCCTAAACCCTAAACCCTAAACCCTAAACCCTAAACCCTAAACGGGCGTCCACCGGAATTGGTGACGCCTCTGGGAGTCGTGTGCCACGTTTGGTGCCGTTGCATGTCAAGTGCGCCTCAACACGTACTGTAGGAGCCGGAATAATTCGAACAGGGTTTTGGGGGGTTCTTATGGTATACTTATGAGGGGACCACAAGGGTTGAGGGTTTAGGGTTTAGGGTTTAGGGTTTAGGGTTTAGGGTTTAGGGTTTAGGGTTTAGGGTTTAGGGTTTAGGGTTTAGGGTTTAGGGTAATTATTCCGACCCCTATATTAGCAGGTCGCCAGCCGACTGGCTGCTTAGCACCAGGCGGCTCCCCGCATCAATTGGCATGCATGTCCTTCCTTGCCGATGTCTTCTGCCGGGCCAGCCAAGTTCTGCAAAACAGAGGCTCCTTCATGGGGTTTAGGGTTTAGGGTTTAGGGTTTAGGGTTAGGGTTTAGGGTTTAGGGTTTAGGGTTTAGGGTTTCAGGTTTAAAGTTTAGGGTTAGGGTTAGGGTTTAGGGTTTAGGGTTTAGGGTTTAGGGTTTAGGGTTTAGGGTTTAGGGTTTAGGGTTTAGGGTTTAGGGTTTAGGGTTTAGGGTTTAGGGTTTAGGGTTTAGGGTTTAGGGTTTAGGGGGTTTAGGGTTTAGGGTTTAGGGTTTAGGGTTTAGGGTTTAGGTTTAGGGTTTAGGGTTTAGGGTTTAGGGTTTAGGGTTTAGGGTTTAGGGTTTAGGGTTTAGGGTTTAGGGTTTAGGGTTTAGGGTTTAGGGTTTAGGGTTTAGGGTTTAGGGTTTAGGGTTTAGGGTTTAGGGTTTAGGGTTTAGGGTTTAGGGTTTAGGCTTAGGGGTTAGGGTTTAGGGCTTGGGGGTCCTTGGTACTTGCTTGAAGTGAGCTTGGTATTGAGCTTGTCCACGTTAGCCGCAAGCGAGCCCACCTGGCGCGAGGTGGGGTTCCCGTAGATGAGTAGATGAGGGGTCCCGTCCTTCTACGGTCATTCTATGATATTTGGGGGCTTCAGGACCCTAACCCTGAAACCCCAAACCCCATACCCTAAACCCTAAACCCTAAATCCTAAACCCTAAACCCTAAGCCCTAAACCCTAAACCCTAAACCCTAAACCCTAAACCCTAGCTCTTTGGAGACGGCCCACCTGTCGCAAGAGCAGCTGCACGTCATAGCTCTTCGCAGTGCCCTTGAGCCGGTCAATACCCCGGATGAGTCCATCCATGGTGAGGCCACGATCCTTGTCCTGGGGTTTAGGGTTTAGGGTTTAGGGTTTAGGGTTTAGGGTTTAGGGTTTAGGGTTTAGGGTTTAGGGTTTAGGGCTTAGGGCTTAGGGCTTAGGGCTTAGGGTTTAGGGTTTAGGGTTTCGGGTAGATGAAGCCAAGTGTAGGGTTCATTTGGAGCCCTCGGCATCCTCTGCAAGGATGAGATCATACAGGCCATCCGAATCTTCCTGGGCTGTCGCTAAAAATGCCGCCTGCCTGGGGTTTAGGGTTTAGGGTTTAGGGGTTAGGGCTTAGGGTTTAGGGTCAAGGGTTCAGGCTTTAGGGTTTAGGGTAGCATATTCCGGAAGATGGTGCTCTAGAAACCCCAGGAAGCCCTAAACCCTAAAGCCTAAACTACATAAAACACATCCCGAAGGCACCCAACCAAGCTTCTACGTCCAGATCCATGGAGCCGATCCAAAGCTGAACAGCCTGGGCGCTTGTTTCAAGGAGATTCAGCTAAGTTGGTTTTAGGGTTTAGGGTTTTAGGGTTGTAGGGTTTAGGGTCTAGGGTTTAGGGTTTAGGGTTTAGGGTTTAGGGTTTAGGGTTTAGGGTTTAGGGTTTGGGGTTTCGGGCTCAAGGAACTTCGCCTGGGTTCGCGGGCTCTTGTTCAGGAACTTAAACCCCTAAGGGTCCATGTACCCATATAGTACGCATTTGAACCCTAGAGCTACTGTATAGGAACCCCTATACGGGTACATCGACCCTTTGGGGATAGCGTTGTTTAGAAATAACTAGTACTAATTCCAAAAGCCTAAACCCCAAACCCTACAACCCAAAAACCCCAAATCCTACACCCTTCAAGAATAAACCAAACGTAAACCTACACCCAAAACACCTAAGCAACAACCCTAAACCTTAACTTAACATTGAACACACATACCTATACACCCCAAAACACCTCAACGAAAACCCTAAATGACCTTAACTTAACATCCTTAACAGGGGCCCAGACCCTAAACCCTAAACCCTAAACCCTAAACCCTAAACCCTAAACCCTGAACCCTAAACCCTAAACCCTAAACCCTAAACCCTAAACCCTAAACCTTAACTTACCATCCTAATAACAGGGGCCCAGAAGCTGGATGACTGAGGAGTGCTCTCCACTCCTCTCTGCTGACGAGACCGTCTTGATCGCTGTCCTTAGCTTTCTCATTTAGCGGAACACGTGGGGTTTAGGGTTTAGGGTTTAGGGTTTAGGGTTTGGGGTTTGGGGTTTAGGGTTTAGGGTTTGCGGTTTAGGGTTTAGGGTTTAGGGTTTAGGGCTATTGAGGGCTTAGGGTACCCTTCGTTGTGGAAGGTTGAAGACAAGGGGCTGACACAAGAAACAAGGGTACTACGGTGCATCTGGTGTCAGCTTGTAAGAACAGCTGCATCATCTTCATCTCGTGTATCTTGGACGTCTTCTCCTTCGCCCTCATCATGACAAAGTTGTCAGACGATGCCACTCTGAACGTCTCCTCGATGAAAACGCCATTGATGACACTAACAACGGCAAACCCAATGATGAGCTTGTGGACGATGCACACCAGCATAAACCACTCCGACACGTTCTCAGTCAGCAGCCTGCATATCTCGGGGAAGTCGGCTAGAGTTATCTCGAACATCGAGAGCATGGACCGCGTGAAGGTCCCAAAGTAGGCGAACACCTGATGGCGCTCGCTGATCGGAAAGCGCTCGTTGGTGAAGTAAAACGCGTAGAGAACTTGGTTCAGCAGCAGAGCAGCCAGCACCTTGGTTGCCCAGCAACCATATCATCACAAGGGCAACCTTCTTTGGGCTCGTTACGTTCTAAGGGAGCCTAGAACCCAAAAAAAGGGAAAAGGATACCACCGGGCTACCAAGGGAACTTGCAGAAAGAGCAGCAGCACGCAGGCCCAGGTCAAGATTAAGGCGCTCCCCTTCAAGGCAGTGGTGATTAGGTAGAGCGAGTCGAACGCCTTGATCACCCTGACGAGCCTCAACAAGCCTCGGGTGATCCTTCAAAACCCTCAGGGAAAAAACTTCCTAAATGCAATATATTCCTCCCAACCCCCCCGCCCCCCCCCCCCCCGGCCAAAAAAAGGGGAGAATGTGCAAAATGTTCTTCCTATATCCGAGCAGCCTCCTGAACCGCCCCGAAAACAGGAAGAGATGTACAATGTTCTTCCTAAAATATGATCCTCCTAAACCCCCCCGCTCAAAAAAGAAGCGGAAAAAATGTAGAAACTGTGCCAAGGCTTGGACCTAGAAGCGAAGCAGCCTCAGCAGCCTCAGCAGCCTGAGCAGGGAGGCGTTGACCGGGATCAGCGCACTGTCGGCGACGTCGACGTACCAGCAGCAGACGATCCCAGTGTCGATCCAGTTCCAGGGATCCTGAGTAGCCCCAAAAAATCCGAGTATCCCTAAACCCTAAACCCTAAACCCTAAACCCTAAACCCTAAACCCTAAACCAATTCCAGGGATCTTTTAGAAAGCCGAATCCGAGGGCTGCGCACTTCAGAAGTATCTCCTGAGCTGCACTTCAGTAGCCAGAGGGAACACTCTTTGATCACGAAAGATACGGAAAGTAGACCTAAATTTCAGATTGAGATCCCTCCTGTATCGTCCTAGGCAGATTCCCGGGTTCAGGAGTTTATACCTAAATTCAGATGAAGATCCCAAAGCAAAGTGAGCAGTTACCCATTGCTAGGTAGATCCCAATTTCCCGTGCGAGGCAGATTCGTGAGGTAATGGAGTGTTTCTAAGGGTAGCTACATGGTACCCTAGTATGGGGCCTTAGAAGGGGAGCCCTTATATACCCCTTGTATGCCCTAGACAAACTAAGAGCCCATACACCAGAACCCTGTAAGTAAGGGACCATTCAGGGCCCCTGAAAACTACCCCAAACCCTACACCCTAAACCCCAAACCCCAAACCCTAAACCCTAAACCTTCTCTAAGAGTGCTAGCTTGGCAACCCCGGAGCTAGCGACGGAACGGCCTGATTGCTTTCGTCAGGTCTCTCAGGGTTCAGGGTTTAGGGTTTAGGTTCAGGGTTTAGGGTTTAGGGTTCAGGGTTTAGGGCTTAGGGCTTAGGATGGCTTAGGGCTTAGGGCTTAGGGTTCATGGCTTCAGGGGGGGGGCTTAGGGTTTAGGGGACACGAGCCCCCGAAGGAAGAAGGGGGGCGAAGAGTGCACTGCACTGGGTTTCCGAGTCTCAGCGGTGAAGGCAATGCCAAAGAAGAGGTCCATACGATCTACGAGGAGCCTTGCCCAGGGTGCAGTCACAGCTGTTGGCTGGTATGACCTTGACTGCACTCAGGAGGGTAGCTATAAAGATTAGGGTTTCGGGTTTAGGGTTTAGGGCTTAGGGCTTAGGGCTTAGGGCCCAATATACCTAAAAAGGCTAAGGATCTGAAGTTACAGTAAAGCGCAAAGTGACGCATAGTTGAGCTTCGCTCCGATGTCGATGCCTACGACTTGAACGTCCAGCGCCATCACCAGTGCGTTGACAACCTCAGGTTAGATTCCAAAATGGGACTTGCTCACCATGGGCTTATAAAGAAGGCGAGGTGGTGGGGTTTAGCAAACTGGGGCTTAGGGTTTCGGACTCAAAAGGAAAGATCCCCGGAAACCAAAAATCAAGCAAAACACGCCAAACATCAACAGGGCCGAGCAACGATCAAGCTGGCAAAAGAGATCTCGAAGACAGGGCTTTTGACAAAGGAGCGATACCGACCGAAGGCGGCGTGCCACGAGTGCCAACCCCATTCCTTGTGGATGCCGAGGTGGATAAACTGTGAGGCTTCCTTCGCAGGCCAGTAGCCATATTGTAATCAGGGTACCCTTTTTTTGGATGGTTACTTTACTTAAGGGAACCCAGAACCCAAAAACAACAAAAAGGGTAAAGGGCACCATGGGGCTACCAAGCTTCGCTTGGTGTAAGTGAGGCCCCAGGCTCGGGACGAAGCGCCTTCATGCCATCGTCAACATCATCCTTTCGCCCCTCCCGTCCAGCGGCTGCTTCAAACCTTGGTAGCCCCAGGAACCATATTACTCTAGGGGTCCCTAAACCCTAAACCCTAAACCCTAAACCCTAAACCCTAAACCCTAAACCCTAAACCCTAAACCCTAAACCCTAAACCCTAAACCCTAAACCCTAAACCCTAAACCCTAAACCCTAAACACCCAAAAAGGGGAAAAAGGGTACCACTGGGCTGCCAGGAAGCGGACCTGCCAGGCTGTGCCCTGATGGCCCGACGTCGTCCAGACGAGCCTGCAGCTCCGCAATCCTGGCGCCCAAGCTGCTCACCTCCGGGATTTTCCCCATTACGGCACAGGGCACCAAAATCTAGGTTGCCCAGTAACCCAGGATTAAAAAGGGTGCCCTTTTTTGCTTAAAGGGGTTTATAGGGGAACCTAGAGCCCCAAAAAAGGGAATAAGGGCACTACTGGGCATCCTAGAAATTCTACCCCTACACCAAGAATCCGATACTTGGGCCCCTTGTGCTTAAAGAGAACGCCTCAATATCAACCTCAATACCCCCCCCCTCCCCCGAAAAATAGAGGAGATCCCCCACCTGGAGTTCGTGCTCGTATCGCAGTCGGTCCAGAAGAGATGCGAAGACGTCATCTTCACCCTGCATCTGGCCCGCGGGCGCGCGGGCGCGCTCGTCCCGGGTCGCCGATGTTCGGAAACTCCGGGGGGGTGGCGGGGGGCGCGGGGAGGGGGGCGGGGCGGAGGGGGGGGGGGGGGGGCACTTTCGCCGAAATTGCTGCAAGAAGCACCCTGAAAGCTATCTATCTGCATGATCGTACTGAAATCCTAAACCCGAAAAACCTCTAGCCCCCGAAGCCCTAAAGCCCTAAACCGCTAAACCCTAAATGAATCACCCTAGATCCTAAACCCTAAATCCTAAAACCTTCTACCCTAAACCCTAAACACTTGAACACAACCTGGAAGTTGGACCTTAGGCAAGCGAACGGGTTCAGAATCGAGCGCAGTCAGCCATTGTCAGTCCGAAATCATACAAACCCAACGTTGGGTTCAGAGTTTAGGGTTTAGGGTTTAGGGTTTAGGGTTTAGGGTTTAGGGTTTAGGGTTTAGGGTTTAGGGTTTAGGGTTTAGGGTTTAGGGTTTACATGAAGCCCTGAAACTCTCAAACCCTGAACCCTCAACCCTAAACCCTCAACCCTCACCCTCAACCCGAACCCTAAACCCTAGACCCCGACCGAAACACCCTGGGAGACCGAATCCGTTTGTGCCTGAAACATACTGGGCGCATCTGTTCCCCCCACCCAGTACCCCTTGCTCACGGCCAAGGGCACCGCCCCGGAGCTCTGAGCGATGGAAAAAACCGTGCGCGACAGCTGGAAAGCCCAGGTAAACCCTGAACCCTGAAAGCCGAGACCCTAAAACCCTAAACTCAGACCAGGTTCTCAGGCTGTCCTCTAAGATCCCCACATCATTTTCTTTTCAAGCCTTTGGGAAACAAAACGAAACCGAAGCTCCCCATAATTCGATTTGGGGTTTAAGGGTTTAGGGCTTAGGGTTCAGGTTTTTTGGTTTAGGGTTTAGGGTTTAGGGTTTGGGGGTACCTTTTTGGTGTCCTTACTAGAACTACTGGGGGGTCTAGATTAGGGGTCCCTTATTCTAAAGCCCCATTTCGTCACAAAAACGTGAATGCCATAGAATGTCGATAAGACTACGGCAACTACACAACGTCCTAACTACCTCGAACGCACCAGCAGGGCTTCTTTACGAAGAAGACCCTGTGCAAAGAAAGAAAACACCCTAACCCGATAAAAGCAGCCCTCACCCTATACTCCAAACCCTAAACCCTCCGCCCTCAAACGCATTCCCAGCTCTTCAAGCCTCTTCCTGCCGTAGCGAAGAAACCAACTCCTCGGGGGCTGTATATGGGGTTTGGAGGCAGCCGAGGGTTTAAGGTTTAGGGTTGAAGGTGAAACCTTCAAACCATCTAGGGTTGAAGGTTCAGGGTTTAAGGCATATAGGGTTCAAGGTAAAAAGGGCTTAAGGTTTATAGGGTTTAAGGTTCAAAGGGTTTAAGGTTTATAGGGTTTAAGGTTTACAGGGTTTACATGGTTTAAGGCTTAAGCTTCAGGATTTGGAGAGCCTCGCGCGTAGCATGTGACAGGACGGCTTCAGGGGGGGGGGGGGGGGACTTCCAGGTTTTGGGTGGAACCGGAGTTTAGGGTTTAGGGTTTAGGGTTTAGGGTTTAGGGTTTAGGGTTTAGGGTTTAGGGTTTAGGGTTTAGGGTTTAGGGTTTGCAAGTAGGGCACCTCACGCAAGGCTTCTCTAAGGAGGTGCACATCAGGGTACCTCAGGGTGATAACAAGAAGGGATAACGACAGGAAGCGGGCCCATCTTAAGGTTCTTGGGAATCCGCCGCGTCCACCACCGCCCCTTAAGCAAACTACCCCACCCGCAAGCCTCTGAACCGTAAAGGCCCTAGAAGATAACTCCATCACCCGAACCCTAATAAGCAGTAACAAGCCTTATAGCCCTAAAACCCTAAAGCCTAAACAGTAAGTGAAACCAAGACCCTATAACACAACCCAAAAGCCCTAAACCCTAAACCCTAAACCCTAAACCCTAAACCCCCATTCTCCGTAACTTCCACCTGCCTCCGGACAACGCGCGTAGAGCGCGTCCAGTCCGAGCAGCAGCGAGAGAAGGAGCCTCCAACATCAGTTTCAAAACCCTAAACCCTAAACCCTAAAACCTAAACCCTAAACCCTAAACCCTAAACCCTAAACCCTAAACCCTAAACCCTAAACCTAGGGACTTGGGCTCCGGGATTTGGGATGGATTGGCTTCGCGTTGACGCTTTAAGGTTGAGGGTTGGGATATTCCCCGCTTATACTAACAGTCCTTAAGAGGGATTGTAGTACCCCCCAGTTGCTCCGAAACCCTAAACCCTAAACCCCCAATTGTAATCCCTATTAAGGGCTGTTAATACTAACCTTAATACGGAGTATCGTACCGCCGGATTATAATTCCCAGTTAAGGGCTGCTAGTATAAGGGGGGAACATCCCAAGTGGAGGGTTTTACAGTTGAGGGACTCAGGGTTGAGGATTTTACAGAAGAGGGTTGGATGACTGAGGGCTTCAGGGGTGAGGGTCGATGTCGTGGGGCAGAGGATCGAGGGTTTTGGAGGTTCGAGGTTAGGGTTTAGGGTTTAGGGTTTAGGGTTTAGGGTTTAGGGTTTAGGGTTTAGGGTTTAGGGCTTAGGGTTTAGGGTTTAGGGTTTAGGGTTTATATAGGGTTTCGGGTTTAGGGTTCAGGGCTTAACTTATAGAAATTGCAGAGGGTTTGGGTCCCAATACTGTTGTGAACGAAACGTTTTGAGCGAAGCGTTTTGAGTGAGGCGCTTTGACGAAAGCTTGAACGAAGCGGTTTGAGCGAAAGGGGTTGGGGTTTGGGGTTTAGGGGTAAAGGGTACTTAGTGATGTAGGGCCCCTTATACTTATAAACCCAAACAAGGAATTATGAAACAGCCCACAAGAGCCAACCTAGCTAGGGCTTGGGGTTTGTTTCAGGTAGCGTGCCCAGGACCTTCTTCAGGCGACCGTAGGGTTTGGGAAATACCCTGAACCCAAATGTCGAAGCCTACACTCTAAACCCTAAACCCTATAACCCCGATAAACCGTATAAACCCTATAAATCCTTTTAAACCATGTTAACCCTCTAAAACCCTATAAACCCTATAAGCCCTATAAACTCTATAAACTCTATTAACCTTATAACCTCGAAACCCCAAACCCTAAACCCTGAACCCTGAACCCGGAACCCTAAAGCCCCCTTGGGCTCCCAGGCTCTTGCTGCGGGTGGCTGCAGGGGAAGGTGTCCGTGGCGCACAGCGGAGGGAGGAGATAGCTCAGCGGAAGGAGGCCTGCGACAGTAGCTTCCAGGACTCGGGTGCAGGGTTTAGGGTTTAGGGCTTAGGGTTAGGGTTTAGGGTTTTATGGTTTTGGGTTTGGGGTTTGGGGTTTAGGGTTAAGGGCAGAGTAAACTAGGAATAAACAGGGTGCCCGGGTCCAAATAGAAAAAAGGAATGAGGGGATTTAGGGCATGAGGGTTTGAGGTCCCCCCCCCCCCCAAAAAAAACATTACGGGTGCCCAATTTTCTGTCGCTGGCAACCAGGGCCAAAGGAGGGCGGGTACCGGGGACCCTAAACCCTAAACCCGAAACACTGGGTTTCTGAGGGTTTGAGGCCAAGGGCTTAAGTTTTGGGGCTTTAAACCCGGGGCAGAGTCTCCGTGACCTTGAGAAGTGCTGGTCAAAACCCTAGACCCTAGACCCTAAACCCAGTACCCCTGTGCCCGCAACCCTAAACTCCCGACCCTCATCCCAAACAGCACCCCCCCCCCTACACACTAAGCTCTCATCTTCAAAGCCTGAGGTCTCGACCCTAAACCCAAAACCCTAAACCCTAAGCCCTAAAGCCCTAAACTCTCTAGCCCTCGGACCCTAAACCCCAAACCCTACACCCCAAACCCTAGCCCCAGACCCTAAACCCCAAACCCCAAACCCCTAAACGCTAAACCCCAAACCTCAAAGACCGGCGTCTTGGTGCCTCGGACGTCCGGCGACAGGGCAGCCAGTGGGGTCAGCGAGACCTTGGTGTGAAAGGCTCTGGCGGTTTAGGGTTCTAGGGGTTTAGGATTTCAGGGTTTCAGGGTTTCAGGATTGTAGGATTTTAGGGTTTCAGGGTTTTTTAGGGTTTTAGGGTTCTAGGGTTTCAGGGTTTCAGGGTTTCAGGATTGTAGGATTTTAGGGTTTCAGGGTTTTTTAGTTTTTTAGGGTTTTAGGGTTCTAGGGTTTCAGGGTTTTAGGGTTTTAGGGTTTTAGGGTTTTACGAGTAGGGCTTTAGGGTTTTAGGGTTTTAGGGTTTTAGCGTTTCAGGGTTTAGGGGTTCAGAGGTTAGGGTTAACGGCCAGCTTTCGGTCTAGGGTCCCTCGTTGACCTTTGTGCATCTCACCGCGAGGAGTTTCCTGATCACGAGCGCGAGCGCCCGGGACCGTTTGGTCGACAAGGCCCTCCCCTAAACCCTAAACCCTAAACCCTAAACCCTAAACCCTAAACCCTAAACCCTAAACCCTGAACCCTATAAAACCCTAAACCCTAAACCCCTATATCCCTCCGCAACGCCCAGCATGAATTACATATATAGCACCCTAAACCCATCCCTCAACCCCAAGCCCCAATCTTTATGCCGGGCAAATTTATGATTGCTATCTGAGTTGTACTTAAACCCTGTGGAAATTCCCTGAAAAGGAAAGAAGGGGAAATTCAAGAACATC